ATCATCTCTATTACTGAGGAATTTTACTGCATTTTGGAGCTCCTCAAATAACTTTTTCATTTCCTTGAGCTCTGCTATTTCTTTTCTCATTATGTCCAAATCTTTGGTGACTTTGTCTTTGAATTCATTAATTTCAGGAGACAACTTTAGAACTACTTTTTGGATTTCAATTTTTAACTTTTCTTCCACTCTGTTCATCTTATTTGCCATCCATATTCTGAATTCTATTTCTGACATTTCAGCCACTTATCTATGCATGGCATCTTCACTTGTATCTCCTTTGTCATTCCTTGGGAGGGTTGATCTACTCTGGTTATTCACATGCCAGAGTTCTTCTGTTGGTTCCACACCATGTTTATTTTCCACCGTTTGGTTATAAGAACTGGTAGGGTGAGATTGAATTGGGGTTCCCAGGTAGTATAGACAATCAGATCCTTACCAAAGCAGTAGGCTTTGTAATTGTGGCTTATCCCCTACAACCTTACACAGGCCCCTTTCAGAGTTTTGGCCAGAGACTTTGAGGACCAACTTGATGAGATAATTTAAGCTGGCTCTGTTTTGAAATCATCCAACCTCTATCCTATTCTTATAAGCCATGGTATTAGGTTTAAATCTCAGCTGTGGAGAGATACAGACAGCTGTGGCACCCCGCCCCCACTCTTCAGTTCTTTTCCATTACAGAACTTCAAAGGTCAACCTCAGAGTATCCCCAGCTGGACAGCCCCAGACACAAGTTCCAATCCAATTGTCTCAGGTAGTACAAACCCTGCTCAACAAAGAGGTATCCAAGGGTCTCCAACAACACAATTGGAGCCAGGGGTCCATGCCCTCACCCACAAGACTCAGTCCACACACATGTCCACATTTCCACTCATAAGCCCAGTTGGGGGTCAAGGGATCACACCCCTGCCTGCAGGTCTCAGTCCACACTTGGAGGCTTGCCAGCTCTGATGGAGTCAGGGGACCATGCCCTGGCCCTCAGGTTTCAGTCCACACCCAGCAAGCCTCTGGTCACTGGCCCAGTAGGAGCCAGGGACCAGCCCCACCTGCCAAACTCAGTCCCCTCCAGGCAATCACTCTCCTACTTGTGGGCTCCATCAGAACTGGAGGTTCTACACCCCCTCCCACCAGATACAGCCCAAGGGTCAA